GAAGTTTTCCTTCTGAGGAGATGAAGATGTTCTTTTGATTGTGGTTGCTGATTTATACAACCCTGGAATGTGAAAATACAGATATCTTAAGTGGGTGCTGGTTGATGCCATTCGTTATGTACTAATAAAACCTTTATAAAGGCTAGTGTACATGTTTAGAGTTCATACAACAATAAAACTGAATTTTGGACACTTAGGGGAAACAAACTAGAATAGACTCAAAAGTTTGTATCAAATTTTCTTTTTTTGAACCGTGTCTCAAGGACATAGTTTGTTTGTTTTTAATTTTTCATTTATGAGAGAGATGTGGTGTGAGCCGGAGAGGGTCAGACAGAGACAATCTTGTTTGATTTGTCTTGTTTGTTTGTTACAGTTAAAGTTTATTTATTTTGAAAGAGAGTAAAAGCATGAGTGGGGGAGGGAGGCAGAGAGAGAGGAGAGAGTGAGAGATCCAAGCAGGCTCTGACACCCACCGCGTGTAGGAGGTGTGAGGACTCATACTCTGGGTGACCCGTGGTCACGAAATCCTGATTCATGCAAGTCAGATGTAATCAACTGAGCCACCCAGGTGCTCTGAAAGAAAATTTTTTTTTTTGGTATTTTTATTTAATTTATGTTTTTTAATTTACATCCAAGATTAACATATAATGCAACAAATGATTTCAGGAGTAGCATTCTTTATGTAGCCCTTCCCCATTAGCCATCCTCCACCCCTCCACACCTAACCCATTGTTTGTTCTCCTATTTAAATCCTCTTCTGTTTGCCTCCTGTTTTTTTTTTATATTGTTATTTTTGTCTCCTTCCCTCATGTTCTATCTGTTTTGTACTAAAGTCCTCATGAGTGAAGTCATATGTATGATTTGTCTTTTTTTTCTGACCACTGCATAACAGCCATATGCCCCTCTAGTTCCATCCACGTAGTTGCAATGTAGCAAGATTGTCATTTTTTGATTGCTGAATGATACTGTTTGTAAGAAGTATATACACCACATCTTCTTTATCCATCTCATCCATCATGGACCGCGGCTCTTTTCGCAACTTTGGCTATTGTTAGATAGTGTCTGCGTTATAAACATGGGGATGCATGGTGTGTCCTTCAGAACACACACTATTGCAGCCGGGGTGAGCGCGTAGTTGGTGCCTGTCATTCTCGCCGGTCACGATCTGCTGGTCCGTGAGTTCGAGCCCTGTGTCGTTATGCTGGCTGATGGCTCAGGATGAGCCTTGTTCCGATTCTGTGTCTCCCCTCTGCCTCGCCCCCGTTTCATGCCCTGTGCTCTTCTATACCCAAAAAATAAATCCAAGAACGAAAAAGAAACAGCTACCACGTCATCCCTGGATAAATGCCTATAGTGCACATGCTAGGTGCGAGGGTAGTTCTATTTTAGATTTTTTGGAGGAACCTCCATACTGTTTTCAGAGTGGCTGCACCGCGGCTGGTTCCCACCAACAATGCAAAAAGTACCTCTTTCCTCCGATCCTAGCCATACACTGTTGCCTGAGTTGTTAATACGTTAGCCAATTCTGACAGGTGTGGTGGTATCTCATTGTGAGTTTTGATTTGTATCTCCTCGATAATGAATGAGTGATATTGAGCATTTTTTGCCATGTGTCAGTTGTTAGCCTTGGATGTTCTTCTTGGAAGTGTCCTGTTCATTCTTTGGCCCATTTCATCACTGGATATTTGTTTTTTTGGGTGTTGAGTTTACTAGTTCTTTATAGATTTTGGATACTAACACATCTGATATGTCGTTGTGCAAACTTTCTCCCATTCCGTTGGTTGCCGTTTTTAGTTTCTTGCTTTGCTTGATTCGTCCTTCATGCAGAGCTTTTTTACATTTTATTTATTTTTTGAG